CCCTATCTATTCGTCTGGAGTAGGGGTGGTGACTATGGTTATGAGGTTTAACTATTTCAAATAGAGGTGTTGGGACATTAAGGGAGGTTTCGGCTCAAGCCGGCGAGAGAAAGGGAATCATGGGAGAAAGAATCTCCCCTCTTTGAAATGAGCTATTTCTGGTTTCCATAGCCGCAGATTGCCTTAGACTTCGTGGCGAGGGGAGTTTTTTTTTATGGACAAACTATAGCTAAATTGATTTTGGAAGCATTATACAATAAGCGTATAAATTAACGGTTTACTCTACTGATTTGTCGGAAGTTTGTTTTAATTATGGGTATATTGGGCAGTTGTTAGAGAATGGTGTTGGCTGATTAAATTCATGGTCAACTTATTTTTTTTTCTGAAGTAAGTTATTATTAAAAACATTTTTTTCTTAAAATAGGGAAACTGGCTGTATAAATTAGCGTTCATGAACGGATTTTGCTAAAGTTCGAGAGACAATTAAAGTCAATTATTTTTATGAATAATTTGACGGTCAACTCTACTATTTGTTCTGAATTTTGTTATAATTACAAGCGCAGGGCGTTTTTGTTCGAGAAAGGAGCTGGCTGCTTAATATAGCAATCAACCCCTCTGGTATCACTTAAGTTCGTTACAGTTACGGGTACTGGGATTTTTCTCAAAGAAATTAGCTTACTATATAAATTGTTGTTGTTGTTACTTTACGTCGAAACTAGAGCTGCACAATGGGCTATTGGCGACGGTCTGGGAAACATCCCGCAGGATGATCCGAAGACATGCCATCACAATTTTGATCCTCTGCGGAGGGGATGGCACCCCCGCTTCGGTAGCCCGACGACCTGCGCGCGAAGTCGAGCACTTTACGGTAGCACAGTTTAACGAGGACCAATACCGCACACCCTCGGTCCCTACGCAGACTGATCCAAGTGGTCACCCACCCGCACACTGACCGTAGCCAGTGAGGCTTGACTTCGGTGATCTGCTGGGAACCGTGTCTTGACGATCAGTCCACTGCGGGACCTATATAAATTAAAGATCAATACTAATTTTGCTTAATTTCATCAAAATTAATATTCCTCAGTTTCTTTTCCCTCTAAGAAGAGTGGTAGTTAAATAAACACTAGTCCAGAAAGCATGTAAACCTTACGGCAACTTTGTGGTCGGAATTTTCTTTCTATTGTCACGAAAATGTTTGTACTGAAAACCTTTTTTCAATACCTTTCAATCTTTTATCCTAAAAGGATTAAAAATTATTTTTTAAAGCGTTTCTCAAAAGTATCGTCATTTGGGTCCATAATGACGTTATAGCTGACGTTACACTACCGATTGGATCAAATTGCAGTGTGCATTACAATTTCATGACAAGGTGGTTTTAAGCTGAGCATACAAGAGTCAGCGAAAAGACACCTTATAATTACCTAGATTTAAGATTATTTTCACCTCGAGACTAGCTTTATAAAAGGATTTTTTCACTCTCAAAAACCCTAAGACAACCTCGATTTAAGGTTTTTATATAAAAGGTTGTTTTCAAGGTTTTGGATTAGGGTAATATGCGTGGAATAGATCGGATTGACACAGATCTCATTTTAAGGTTAGAAGGTTTACACGTAAACTGCATTGTAAATCTTTTTAAGTGGGTTTAAGAGGTTTTTGCTGAGTTAAAATAAACCTTATTTTGCCATCTATTGCAGATGAAAAATCAAAATCAAATTTTCTTGGTTAAAAAAGAAATCGATTCTTTTTTTCCGAGGAATTAAAACGGCCATTTTTTTTTACGTCATTAAAGTTATATGTCTGACTTGCCTGTCAAAGGTTTAAACTAAAAATCAAAAAGTGGTTAATGAGTACGGTACACATTTTTCCTTTATTGAACTTTTAATTAAAATTAATGACATTCACGAAAAAAAAACGACTAAAATAATTTCGTACGTAAAATTCTGTTTGATCTAGTACACCAAAAAAAAAAATCGAATTTTAGAGTGTATGTTACTTAAGTTCTTTTCAATTAAAAGGAAAATTCCATCTACTCTTAAATTTTCAGAAACGCTCGAAAAATATTCCTAATTAACTGCAAACAACTTAGAAGGATTAAAATCCGTACACCAAAATAACAGTTTGATGAGGATCTCGATAAGCTTATTAAACCAATTTTTTTTTAATCAGAATAATAAACTTTCGAAACAGTTCGTATTTCTCCACTAATAAGTTCGTAAATTTCTTTTTCGTGTGATTGTTTAGAACTTTTAGTTTTTTCAGGTTAAAAAAAATTCATTATTTATATCGGCAACGAGTTTCACAATTGCTCTTGTTTCTGAATCTAGCAGTTTTATTTTCGATTTATTCATTTTATAAATATTATCTTCAATGCATGTGGAGCTGAATATAATAATATGTGCTTTTTATCTTTTTATATGCTATTGTTTAATAATAACTACATAAATATATTTTTTAATCTCGTGGTATTTAAAACCATTTAAAACTTTAAAGCACTTTCAGAATAAAATTATTTTATTTTATTTTATTTCAACAGTTTTCAATTTTATTGAAACAGTTTCCCCGTTACTCTATCTCTCATATGAATGATATGAGTATGAGTATTTGAGTGTACGTGTGAGTATATGAGTAAATGAATATATGAGCATGAGTAAATGAATATATGAGTATGAGTATATGAGTATATGAGTATGAGAAAATGAGTGTATGAGTATATGAATATATGATTATGAGTATGAAAATATAAGTATGAGTGTATGAGTATATGAGTAAGAGAAAATGAGTATGAGCATATGAGTAGGAGAGAATGAGTATGAGTGAATGAGTAGGAGCGTATGAGTATGAGTAAATGAATATATGAGTATGGGTATATGAGTATGAATGTATGAATATGAGTATGAGTACATATACTTTGTTGAAATAATTCTTTCAATATATATTGTGATTTGATGGCTCTTAAAAGGGCAATTTTACGGGGGGGGGGGGAAACGTTACACATTTTTTTTACTGTCTAACACCAATAAAGTTAAGCATAATCTGAGAGTAGATTTATGATTTTATTATATTTTGCTCAAAATTATGTATTCTAAAAAGATATACCATAAATTTACTAAAAAAAGACAATCATGTTTATGATATTTTTAAGATAAACTGTATTTAATCGAGATATTGATATTAGTATTTTTTTTAATGGCGGGCACTTGGGGTTTGTCCCATTGGCCACAGAAATGCCAGAACTGCTACTCTACTCTCTTCTCGTTACCCAGTGGGCACCTGTTCCGAAGCCACGGCGGTGAAGCAGCGTCGCCCACGTCACACAACCACAAGCCCGTTTATAGGGCGGGTCATATTTACACGACATAGAACACAGAGAGAGAAAGAGACATTCATGCCCTGAGCAGGATTCGAACCCGCGGCCAGTGGCTCCGCAGTCAGACACGCTAACCACTCGGCCACCTGGTCAGCTATTAGTATTTGTTATAGTCAAGACCTAATCTCACATTTATTTCAAATCAGCGGCGTTTTGTACTGTATAGCAAAATATGATGCCGCGCAGTCCTAGTGTTAATGGCTGGCCATTTGAAACTTTTTTTAATACTTAGTAAACGTTAATTATTTAGAAAAATAAGCGTTCAAGAAATCACTCACAGTAATTCTTATTCACCTATACTGTTAGAAATTTCTCAGGAGAAATGGCTGAATAACAATTTATTTAATAGTTATTTTACCATATTTAAGCAAGACAGTCAAATAACCATATAATAACCATGTTATTCAAACTCTTAACTGTGAGAATTTATTAACTGTTTTCATCTAATGCGGTTATACAACCAGAATTTTATAGCACCAAATAGGCTCAACTAATGAAGCCACTTGAAAAATGGATACATATTTTTGCCGAACTGGATAATGTGAACCGAGCGAGATAATCTAGTGACCAACTGAACGAGGGTTCGATTCCAAGCGTTGACACCACAGTGTTTCCTCCATTCCTTTCAACACATGAGGAATTTCCAGTGAACTGAACTCCCCAATTTTTGACCCTGAAATAATAGAATACGATTCTCTCATTTACGCATAGATAGCAGAAGCCGTTGACGAAGCCGTTCTTATTGTAGGATTTTGAAGCCATGCTAGTTGTAAGAGGTTAAAAAAAATCATATAGCTTTGTATTCATGATTTTTTTAACCAAACTAGTAGTAAATGATCTTTTATTTAATTATTATTTTACCATATTTTATCATTTAATTGCTATTTTACCATATTTTATCATTTAATTGTTATTTTACAATAGTCAAGCAAAATTAAAATAGTTGTAAGTCAACTAAACATAAATGAGATGGTATTAAAACTGTTAACTGTGAGAAAAATCGTTTATTAACTGATTTCACTTAATACGATTAAACAACCAGAATTTTATCACCCCACCAAATGAAGCCACTTAGTTCCTTGCAGTTGGGTGCATATTATAGCCGAGATGACTAATCTGTCAATCTCATGACCGACAGAACAGGGGTTCGAGACCCAGTGTCGATACTACTACATTTCCTCCGTTTCATTTCAACAATGAAGAGTTTCCAATGTCCTGCACTCCCCAATTTGTGACTCTGATCTATTAGAGAATGATATTCTCATTTACGCATAGATGGCAGCACTATAAAGCTGCTAAACTGTCTCCAAACTCAGTTTAATTTAATTTTTTTTCAGGTTTTGAAGCCATGATAGTTGTAAATGGCTTAAAAACTGCATAGCTTTGTATTTACGTTTTTTTTAACCATACTAGTTGTATACACCGATATATGTTGATAAAATATGTTGTTTTCCGTAGACTTTACTGTTACTCAGATGAGCAGACTGCTGCCGGTTATGTTTACCATAGAAAATACCATAGAATTTTCACCATAGAAATGTTACCATTTTAGAATGAAAATTTTAACAGTGTAGTGTGTGGTTAATTTCCTTTCTTTTGATTGCAGCGAAACCCTGGCTTTCGCAACGGAGCCAGTGATAGCAAGCCTTGCCAACATCTTGGGATATCTAGAAGAGAGGCTACCACAGAATCTACCGAACAATGTACGTGACTACGCATTCCTCGACATAGAAATTAAATACGGTCTACTACAGGTAAATATCGGCCATTTTGTTTGAATTTGCAATTGGGTTGCTTGCAAGTGACGTCACACTTGGTTTGTTGTTGTCGTTGTTGTTGCTTATGCTCTTAATCTGACATATGTCAGATCCCAGAAAGCGTGTAACCCTTTCGGCAACTTTGCGTCGAATTTTTTTTTTTTTTTTTTAACTGTCGCGAAAATGTTTGTACTAAAAACCTTTTTTCAATAAAGCGAAAAATATTGCAGTTTCAAACCTTTCATCCTAAAAGGATGAAAAAAAAGTATTTTTTAAAGCTTTTTTAAATTAAAAAATATTGTCACTTCGAGTTAAATGGTCACATAGCTCCATAATGACGTTTTATCTGACGTCACACTAGCGATAGGATGAAATTGCATTGTCCTTTAAAATTTCATGACAAGGTGAGTTTTAGATGAGCATGCATTTTTTGTCCAATGCCCACCTGGAGAATGACCTAGGTCATACAGGCACCTGAGGGGCAGATTTGTTGACCACTCTTTCAAACTAGGTGGGCCAACGTTGCTAACACAGTAAAGACAGATAGTACAGAGAAGTAAAGAACATCCATACCTTTGCCCGGGATTCGAACCCAGAACCTTTCTGACGCAAGGGCAGTTCCCTAACACCTACACAGGCCGGTTGGCAAATGAGCATACAAGAATTTGCGAAAAGAAACCATATAATGACCTAGATTTAAGATTATTTTCACCTTAAGACTAGCTTTATTTAAGAATTTTTACCATGCTTGAAAACCCTAAGTCAATCTCGATTTAAGGTTTTTATATGAAAGATTGTTTTCCAAGGTTTTGGATTAGGGTAATGTGCGTAGAATAGAACAGATGGTCACAGATCTCATTTAGAAGGTTTACACGTAAACCGCATAACAAACCTTTTTAGGTTTACATTAAAAGTTTTCTTGCTGAGTTAAAATAAACCTTATTTTGCTATCAGGGAAAGTTTTTTTTTTTAAGTACATTTTTGAACCTAGTTTAAAAGCTTTTTTTGATTGTAAAAATTAATTTTGTGAGTTTGTATAAGTACTTTGTAATAAGCAACTAAGTGTATGAAAGTCAGATCATTTTTAAGTCGTAAATGATTCAAACTGCAAAATAGTTTTTATTTAGCTAACTGCACATACCAATTTGTACTTAACAATTTCTTCCATTCAACAAAAAAAAATATATCTAATATTCGTTCTTAATTGAATTATCAAATAAATGATTCATATCTTCATTATCTTTACTCTCAATTTAATTAAAACATCACTGACAATCTTTTGAGTTTTGTTTAAATAGATTACATTGAACTTGTCAAACACTACAATAGTTGCTATGAATATTATCAGACGTTGGTGAATTTGAGTTACGAAAATATACGCCAAATAACGTCCACGTGTGGATTGGGTACAAAATTAACTGAAGCGATCTGCAGAATATTCATGCGTGTCTTTTGTATGGAATCTTTCTCTTATACTTTCGACTCCACTAAATTAGAAACTAAACTCAATTTGAGCTTTAAAACGAGGCTTAATGAATATTTAATGCAACACAGACTAATTTATGGACGCACTTCTAATCTTCTGGTTCGTGTGACGATTTTAATTCCTTTTCATGTAGACAACAATGCTTTGTGTGCGCCCTCTCGTTTGAAATGAGGTAATAATATCTCTCTCACTTTAAATACTTGACTGGAGAACATTTTGGTTGTTGGAAAATTGATTTTTCTTTTGTTGTGAGAAGAATGGGCTCAAATAAATGGTTTTCTTTGTTACAGTTTTCGAACAATTCTCAAAAGGTTGGAACAAAATCGTAACGTTCTGATAGTAATAATTATGTTATATTATCGAATATCCATTTTACTTACGCAAGATACTTTTCTACTTAAATAAAGTTGTCACAATTACAATTTCTTTTCATCGAATTATTTAAGTTATCTTGAACAACAAATGTATGAGAAATACAATCGGCGTTGCGTGATTTGGACAATCCTACACTCATGTTCATTAAAATGGCAACACCATGTAAGCATTATGTTAATTGAACCAAACTTGACTACCACAAAAACATGAATAGTTCTGATTTAGAAATACGGCCCCAATAGTTTAGTCAGTCAGATCTTAAATTTCACTTTCTGCACATTCCATCATATCTTGTTTATTCGATCCTATGTTTTAGAGCCTACATACAGGGAACTCAAGGGGTAGAGCTTTCGCCCTCCAATGCGGCGAACCGGGTTCGAATCCCAGTCGATACGAATTCCTCATCCGGCTGGTACCGACCACAGTGCTGACGAGAAATATCCTCAGTGGTTGACGGATCATGGGTTAAAGTCCCTTTGCCGTCAGGTCTGACAGTGGGAGGTTCTCGTGGTCTTCCTCTCCATGTAACGCAAATGCGTATTAGTTCCATCAAAATGTCCTCCACGAAGGCAAATTTCTCCCAATACTTGATCCAGGAGCTCCCTTGTCTCTTAAATTGGGTTCAAAATTACAAGGCTACGTAGTTGAACATTAGTAGTCGTAAACTCAAAAGTTGGGTCGGCTGTTTAACGATGGATATAAAATAGAAAACTTATATGAAATGTAAGGTGAGGGAATGCATTCAAATGATTAGATTTACAAAGCGATAGCACGTGTACAACAATTGTGCATGCTTATTTGTACTGTCAGCAGTATTCTTGCTGCATGCTTATTTGTACTGTCAGCAGTATTCTTGCTGCATGCTTATTTGTACTGCGTGCTTTGTACTGTGTCAGAAATTAACTTCATTAATTTCTGACAATTCCTTCATAGTGTTACAAGTTTCGCAAACATTAATGTATGTTTAACATTTAAGAAAAAGGCATTTTGCTGCAGAAATATATCAAAAACATAAGATATTTGAACAATTATTTTTGGGATTGAGACATAAGTTTAAAGTCACACTTTAATCTATTAATTTAATAGGTTTCACTTTAATCTATTTTCGATTCGACATAAATTTTTGGGACTTGCAAATTTTGTTTTCAAAATTTTTATCGTATTCTCACAAAAAACGAATTCATAAATAAATATATAGTAAAATAGAGCTTATCGAACATTAATTACTCATGCTCTTGAAATTTCGAAGTTAAACTGGCATAATCGAAAAGAAATAAAAAAAATTCCATTTATATTTGAAAACGTATTGAATAAAACAATTATCAATATATTTTTCATCTTAATTATGAAATCAAACTCAAATGAATTTTTATACAGTGCGCAGAGAATAATGCAATAATTTAATTTAGACATTCATAGTTTTCATTGTTTATCATACAATAATTTAGTTAGATATTTTTTTAACTTATGTATTCAAAAATCATAGAAATGAATGCACTTCATTTAGCCTAAATGCATTTAAATTTTCAATTTAGAATATTTTATAAAGGAATAAAGAGCAATGTAGTCTTAATTTCATAGTTATTCATGTATAGACTAATCTAAACATAATAATATGTGATTTTTTAAATTTCAAAAGATATTCAAATGAAAATAATAAAAAAGTATTATTTTGTTCAATTACCCGGAGAAAAATTTTTTAAATTAAATCGCTGCAGACATTTCTTGTCGTCTTTTCATTATTTGCTCGAAATACGAGTTTTTGAGTATCATTCAAGAAAATTTTTACTCGTTAAAAAGTACTCGTTTACTGCTGAATGCAATTTCTTTCAACACTTTAGTTTGATTTCTTTTTTTAGATAAAGAATAGAATAATTAAAGGATTGCTTTTTTTGACAAATTATTGACGGTGCATTTCTTTTAAAATATCTTTCAGTAAGAAAACAATGTATAATTAGAAAATCGAAGGAAATTGTTGCACGTTCCATACAAGTAGAATTGCTTTCATTCTGATTTAAGCACGGGAATGATTAGTATTTTAATCTAAAATTTCACACCGTTTGGGGTGTTTTTTGCTGCCTTTTCTTTATTTTCATGAATTTATTTAAAAGCTATTTTCAGCAATTGATATAAATTAATCAGTACTTATAATCGTTGGGGCATTTACCACATAGCTTAAAGTTGCAACTTTAGCTGCATCGGTTAAACCAGATGAATTTTGGAATTTAGGCTAAGCTAACACGAAAAATTTACCCATCTTCAAGAATTAGATAAATCATCTTTAGCAGCACATTGTTAGGCTCATGACCATAAATTTAGCTTGGATAACTAACATTTCGCAACAGTCGTTGAACAGCTAACCCAATTTTAGGTTTACGACTGCTAATATATTGTTTGTAATTTTGAACACAATATAGAAGACAAGGGAACTCCACGATCAAGTATCTATATATATATTTCTCTTACACGGCCACAAAAAAAAGCCTCATTACAACACCCCGAATAGCAACGCTAGAAAATCGACCCATGATTGTCGCTAAAAATGTCACATGCCAAAGCTAGCTGAGGTGGTTCAACATATAGCGCTTTTAAAAATGGAAACTGAAATAACCAGAGAGCATTCTTAAGAAATGTGATCTCTTCCGAAATTCACCCTATCAGCTGCTGCAATCTCATACTATTAAGCTAGGCAGAAGTGAGTAGTCTTTGTCGATAGATCTCTATTTTAGTATTTTGTCGAAAGCGCTTTTTTTCGCGAATTTATATGTTACGAATTTATTTGACGATTTTTGATTTGTATCACGAATTTATTTGTTTTATTATTGTTATTAGTTTTTTATTACGAATTACATATCATTTATTTGAATTCAAATTTATTTTAAGGACTTAGTATTTACTAAAAAGATGTAATTTTTTTTTAAAAAAAAAGTTTTTATATGTATTTGACAGATTGTTTTGAATTCTTAGAATTTTGTGCATTTGCAATGTACCTAAGTTAGTAGCGATCGAAGCGTTCTTGGTTTCCGAAGCAAACCATATAAAATTGCTTAGCAATTTTCGAGGGGTTGGCGAGCGTTAGCGAGAAGGGGACGCAACCCACTAGTTGGATGAAATTTGCCTTCCCGGTGGACTTTTC